AAATGTTAACGAACCCCCCCCCAAAAAATAAAAAATTAAGGCTCAAGAGTAAGTGCCCTTTTTAAATGGCTGCCCCCGCCGCTTCATGTTGCTTCCGGCGCCCCTGAAGTAGACCACATTAACTTTGTAAACGTCTCGAAGAAATAAATGTATTTTAAGACTGAATTCTTGTGTAAACTTTTGGCTGCAAAGCGTTCCTGTCTTGTCTAAATCGCTTTCTCTCTTCCCGCACGGATAACCCGCCACGCCCGCGCAATAAATATCCTAATCTACCCGTATTTATCCACACAGTAGAAAAATGCAAATCTCTGATAAAAGTTAATCCTTTAATTAGTGTCACCCTAACAACACATAGCAACCGGTGTGCTTTAATATAGCTTAAATTTATTAACCTTATCCGACTTTTAGCACCTTAAAAACCTAGCAATAAAATATAGAAATCGCTTGACAATTATATATCATAACCTCTAATTTCCATGTGCTTATATAACTCTAGACAGCAACATATTCTCTCGTATATAGACCTCATATGGCAGACCGGGATTTAAATAGTAGTTTAATTGTAGATACATAATAACTCTTACCACATGCTATTTCTCAGCGTTTTGACGCTTGATAATATTTATATATTACTTAACAACAAACATATAGCTGTATACCCCGAATATATAAGTTTTAGATATATAACACTAATGCTATTTCATATAGTATCAGATTTTTTACTCCTCTAGGACCTAAATTAAAGGAATCACTTGACAATAACAGCAAAATGCTAGAGCTGTGCTTATAAAACTCCAGACAATAACATATTCTCTTGTATATAGCCCTAACTATTGTGTCGCACACCAGGAGGGACGCTAAAAAATGCGTAGTCAGCAAGTTTCGCCCGATCGTGTTTAAGCTCGCCCGCGTGACGTCATTGCATATAATTATGACGTATGTTAATGAGTGACGTCACTACAGTCTCTGTTAATGATGATGCGCCAGCACAGTCTATGCTAATGACGATGCGCGGCCCTGCATTTTTAATGCGCCGTCCCCGCGCCGTCCCGCGCCGCCCCGCGCCGCCCCAAAAATCAGGGTCGAACGGTACCTATATTACTACTACCATGTTCTGCATTTTGGACACTTCAGCTGTTCGAAAAATTGGCACTGGTCAAAATTTATTAATTGGGTGACATTACATGTGCATGCACGTAAGAAATCATTGTTCTATAATCTATATAAGTCACACAAATTACAGTTAGGAAATTGAATGACTGAATTTCGCTATTATTGCACCAAATCAGCCAAACACGTACTAGCATTACAGAGCTCTATCTTCCATGTAGGCTTACTATTTAAAACACGAGCTGAAGTGCTTTATCAAACATAAAGTGCGCAGCAAGAGTGTTTCAGTTATATCTGTTAAAGCACGCACTGTGAGTGTTTTGAATGGCTTAAAAAAACTACCCATCTTACGAGTTCATTGGCAAAGTAATTTTAAAAATAAACATTGTCTAAGCCGAGACAATCAAAGCTAAAGTTTATGAGGTCATCCTGTCAAACCATATCAAAGCATTATGCCTTGCCGATGTAAATAGAATATATTATGCATGATTGTTTTTTTATAGATAGAAACTTTATTTATACACGCTGACCCCGTCAACCGAAGCTGATTTCCACGGGGGGCGTGTGCAAAAATAGAAAAATGTTACATGGAGATATTAAAATACTTAAGTTTAAAAAGGTAGAATATTAAATTATTTACATGATAAGAAGGTTATTAGAAATATTTACAGTTACATCAATTTACTCTATGTCAATTTGTGAGCAGCGATTTTATTTCTAAAGGATGAAAGAGTTTTGCTTTCCCTAATTTCCTTTGGAATAGAATTCCAAAGGTGTGCTCCATCATACATGAAACTATTTTTCATGTTGTTTGTACGCGGTTTTGGTAAACTAAGACCGCTTGAAATGTCACGAAGGTTGTAGTTTGTTTTCTCACATTTGTATGAAAAAAGATTGGTGATTTTAATATTCTTATAATAATTTATAGTAAGTGATTTTAATATTGATTTTATTTAGTAATTTTAATATTCTTATAATAATTTATAGTAAGTGTGCACGGCCCTTTGAAAAACAGACTTCTGAAAGGCTACCGTGAATAAATAAGCTTAAATAATAATAATAATAATAATAATAATAATAATAATAATAATAATAATAATAATTATAATAATAATGGAAACTTTATTACTTTCAATAATATATATACACACTACAATGATAAACCTCTCTTTACAGGTAGTTTACCAGTGTCTACTTGAATTAACACTCTACATAATAACAATATTAGTATGACATTAGTTGTGGGTTATCCCATTCTTTGTTACGCTTACAGAATATATAATACGAGGACCTGATACATATATTAATAATTTTCCGAACATAGTACTTTCTACATTGTTCATCAAACTTTAGATCCTTTAGCATTTCGGTGAAATCTAGCGACGGGTGGCTGAAAACTCCTAATGAGTAATCGATAAATTAACAAATTTCACTTTTTCATAATTTTTGAGCTGTTCGTTAATTAGATCTTGATATTTTTGTCTTTTTCGAGTTGCATTAGTGAGGAGATTAGATTCAAATCCGACGGTAAGTTCAAGTATATAAATATATTTGTTTTCAAGTGTTATCAAAAGATCAGGGCGCAATTCATCTCCGGTGATAACAGATGGACTGATATAGCCAGGAAGGTCAGCATAAAGGTTACAATGGTTCACAGATTTAAGTATGGATGCTATGAAGTTAAGCACTGAATCATGACGCCACGTGAAACGTCCTTCATTTAGGTAGGTCTTGCATCCAGCGACGACGTGAAAAAGTGATTCTGGATTCAAACAAAACGAACATTCGGATGTTGGTGATATTCCCCATTTCAGAAGGTTTAATAATAATAATAATAATAATAATAATAATAATAATAATAATAATAATAATAATAATAATAATAATAATAATAATAATAATAATAATAATAATGATAATAATAATGATAATAATAATAATAATAATAATAATAATAATAATAATAATGGAAACTTTATTAAATGTTTTTCTTTACATACATATACAATCGTAAATCTCTCTCATAAAGGTAACTTACGGTTGGCTTTTTGAATCACAATTATACTAAACTAAAATAACAGAACAAAGTGCATGCAATATATATATATATACAATGAGATAAGTCAAATTGTTAGTAAATCCGGACTTCCCATTCCTTATTTCGGCAGCAAAAAATGTAATATGTAGTTCTAATAGCAATAGTCATCATTTTCTTAACGCAGTACATTTGGTGGTTTTTGTCAAGACCAATACTTTCTAACATGTCTAAAAATGTATAACATTCTTCTGCAAAAATACCTAAAGAGCTGATGGAGAGATTTATAAATTTAACTTGGTTAAAATTTTTACCTAGCTGTCTCAATAATTCTCTATATTTATCCTTCTTCCGTTCTACGTTTTTTTTGAGGTTTGTCTCATAACCAGTGGTGAGTTCAACCACATATAAGGAACCATTTGAGCACGATAATAACAAATCTGGGCGATACGTATCACCAGTAAGTATTGAAGGGCTTTTGAATCCATTTAGATGAGCGTAGAGAGTAGACCCGTCAACAGTTTGTAAAGTATGAGCAAGAAAGTTCAGGACTGAATTGTGTCTCCACGTAAATCGATCGAGATAAAACTGACATCCAGCTACTATGTGTAGTAATGTTTCAGGGCTAAGACAGAAAGAACAGTCTGAATTTGAAGATATTGCCCATCTGTTTAGGTTTTTGCGCGTCGGAAGAGAGTTGTTAATCTAACGAATGGTAAAGTTGTAAATGTTTTTCGGGAGCTTTGATTGGGCGATGGACCACAACTTGTCAAGCTGAGGTAAAGCGAACTTCGTGACGCTGCAGAAACAGGATCCTTGACTGGTTAATTAATTGGTTTAGGAGTTTGTTTTCGTGTCCAGAACGGAAATCTTTGAGAACTTCCTTAGTAGAGTTATAAGCGTCATATTGGATATTAGTATGGTTACTGGTTGCTTTCCACAGGTCGTTAGTTGATTCACTAGGAGAAAA